GGGGGGGGGGAAAGCCGCGTGTCCGAGAGAAGCGCTTCTCGGGTCAATGGAAGGAAAGCGCCGAGAGGCTGCTAATTGCAACGAGCGCCAGCAATCAAGCAGCCTGGATTCTGCTCCATAAGGCCGGCTGGGGGAGAACTGGTAATTAAAAAAAAGGCGCAGAGTAAGCTCTGGGGAGGGGAGGGGAGGCAGCCGGAGAAGCAAGTTGGCAGGGGGAGCCCAGCGAGGGGATGCGGGGGGGGGGGGCGCTGGCATGTGCCCTGGTGCCTTCCTAGAACCCAGCGACATCAAGGCCTCGTCTGGAAGTCTAAGGTTCCCTTCAAGGACAGGGATCCTGATTGCCCGGCGGGATGTGTTTGACACACTGGCCACCACCTAAAGAGGAGCCCTGTTAGACCCCTAAGGTTTAGTCTAAAGTCAGAGACTGGGGGGGGGGGATTCTGAAAAGGAGCATCTGCAAGCTTTGGGATGCTGAAAAATGCACCCAGACTAAAAATGCACCTTTCATCTTCTCCTCTGTGTGTTTGTGTGTGTGTGTGTTTCTGGCCAGGCTGGTTGCAACAATGGAAGAAAATAGCCTGGGCACCCTGCAACAGAGGGCAGCTGAGCTGGAGTGCATGGCGGAGGTTCTTCTGACAGGCGAACAACTAAGGTAGGGATGTGGCTTTTCACAGATACTTGGCCTGGGAGGAGGGGGAGCAATTGGAACTGGGTCGTACCCCAGATTTCAGTTTAATGGACGGCTGCCTGTAATAACCCACTTTTCCTTTAAAGGCTGAAGGTTATATAGGGAGGGTCTCTTGTTTTATTGGCAATAAAATAACCCTGCAAGGTAGATTGGACCGGGAGGTCAGGACTGGCGCAAAGGCACCAGGTGATTTTTCCCCCCCTTCATCACTCCAAGCCTCGTCTCTTAGCCACTGTGTTATAACAGAATTTAGTTGATGCTTTGCCCAACTGCACAGCAGTGCCTCATATTTTTAAGAATTTTCAGTATTTTCACATCACAAGAAGAAAAGAGTGCACTGAATAAACAATAGCATTAGCACTTAGACTTCTATACTGCTTCACAGTGCTTTACAGCCCTCTTTAAGTGGTTTACACAGTCAGCATCTTGCCCCCAACAATCTGGATCCTCATTTTACGGACCTTGGAAGGATGTAAGGCTGAGTCAACTTTGAGCCAGTGAGAATCGAACTGCCCGGTAGTCAGTAGTCAGCAGTCAGCAGAAGTAGCCTACAATACTGCGTTCTAACCACTGCGCCACCACAAATGTCCAAGGGCAGGGGTAGGTAACCTTGGCTCTTTTATGACTCATGGACTTCAACTCCCAGAATTCCTAAGCCAGCCAGCTATGCTGGCTCAGGAATTCCGGGAGTTGAAGTCCATGAGTCATAAAAGAGCCAAGGTTGCCTACCCCTGCCCAAGGGTAACAATCCAGATCTGGTGCTCCCATCATTCTTTACTAGATTGGCCTTGCTGGGTGGAGCTATTGAGAGTTGTAGCTCATCTGGAAGCCTAGCCTGGAATAAGGTAGTTTTCTGGGAGAAGAGATTCATCAGTCTTCAGAGCCTATGTCTATTTTAACCTTTGTGTTCATTTCCCCAATTGGCAGCAAACAAAGATGAATTGAAAAGAGCGATTTAGGCTTATCTCTCAATCCATTCATTTCTGTTCAAAAGCAGGAGGGTGTTATAGGGTGGCCAGAGTCTGAGAATGAAATTCTTTTTTTTTTAAACCTTCAATTAAAAAACATTTTCTTTGATATCTTCTCACATCACTGCCTGCCCAACTAAACCATCTATCAAACAATATTTCTTTTTCAAGATACACTGCCTTGATTCTGCTACATAAGGCAAAGTCTACAATATCTATACCAGTGGTTCTCAACCTTTTTAATGCCGCGACCCCCAACCGGTCGTAAGTCGAGGACTAAACCGGTCATAAGTCGAGGACTAAACCGGTCATAAGTCGAGGACTTTCCCTGCCCGGGAGCGCCGCGCATGCGTGGTTCCGCCCCCTGCGCCGGCCGAGGCGTAGCTGGCAAGCGGCAGAGACAGAGCAGGCCGACCACCAGCTGGCCCAGCCCAAGGGAGGTAAGGCACCCGCCGGAAAAGGGGGGAAAAAATGGCGGACAGCCTTGCTTGGCGACCCCCGTGAAATGGTCGATCGACCCCAAATGGGGTCACGACCCATAGGTTGAGAACCACTGATCTATACTCAGGCATGTCCCAAAAGTGCTTTGTCAAGAGGCAATTGGACTTCCTTGTTTGTCTTTGAAGACGTTTCGCTTCTCATCCAAGAAGCTTCTTCAGCTCTGACTGCATGGTGGGGAATGGAAGGATTTATATTCCTTGCAGACAGCTGGTCATTTGCATTCTTTTAGAGTCATTGAGGCCACTTGGAGGTTTATCTGTGTCCTCAGGGTCACTTGAGTAGTGCAAATGGGTGTGGGGCCTCTTGGAACTGCTGAAAAGACTGTGTTATAGACTGGAGATAGATGATGTCATATCCCTCCCCCTCTGTTGAGGGACGGCTGTTCAGTTTTGACATAGATGGCCTCTTTGACCCCTCTTTCAAACCAGTGGTCCACTCTTTCCAAAATGTTTATAACTTACCATTTGTTGAGGAACAACAGTGGGATAAAGATATTGCTTTTATACCACCCCATCCTATGGGATGTCCACAGGATAGGTTCAAAAAGGTCAAGATGGTGGCCATAGTGTGATTGAAACTCCACCCTGTTTTTGTGCACAATTACATACTTTGGACTCCCTTCTCCAAAGGGGAGGGTCACATGATAACTGTCATGCAAAAGGTATCTCAACTCAGGATGGCTGCTAAAGGTAGCAAGAGTTTCTTTTGGGTAGTCTCTTTGATTGGACCCAGTAGGTATGTACTTACTTACTTATTTATTTTTTAAAAAAGAACTTTCCAGGATGAGGTGAGATTAAAATCTAGGAGGGTGTTCCACCAATCAGTCTAAAAGGATTTTTGCTGCAAAGTAAAATTGCACCCATGTAGAATTTACAAAGCCTTCATTAGAGCCAGCAGCAAAGTTAAGAAACCAAGTAAGAGGAAGTAAGATATAAACATTTTATGACAAGTAAAACATGTGAGCTAATGTTGTCATATCAAATAGAAAAGATTTTTTTTTAATTTTTGTTTCCTTTCTCGTTGCATACTCTCCTGTGGTGTTCACTTATTGTAGGATGTTAGACTCCATTCACTTAAAGAGGTTGAAAAAAAATTCAAGCATTGTGATTCCCTGGTATTTACATTCTGTATGGTTTACAAGTAATACGTTTAAAAACAGAATCAATCAAACCATCCCAAAAGATAAAAGGTTAATTCTTAGGCCATGTCTCCTTCAGCAGGGGTCCTCAACCCCCAGGCTGCAGCCCACTACCAGGCTGCAGTCAGTTCGCAACCGGGCCACGTGAGTGGTGGGCCGGAACACATGCGTGTATGTGCATGTGCAGCTCAACTTGTTCCCTCGCATGCTTCCCCCCACCCCGGGCCACCAAGCTGCAAAGGTTGAGGACTGCTGTCTTTGAGGACAGGATTGTAAGCCTTTGACTTAAGATTGTAAAGGAGCCCACAGTTTCTATTATATGTCGCAACAGTTGTAAGTCAAGGCATCCACATGACTGACCTGATTTTACGACATATTTTGTAACTGTCATCAAACAAACCCATCATCTGCAATGGGACTTTTTTTTCCAGAAATTAGAAGTAAATGCCATACATCTGGCATAAATCACAGTTGTGTGACCGTAGAACACTGCAAACAGCTTAAATGCAGGGTGGTTGCCAAGTGCTCCAAATATGTTCACATGGTCTTGGGGGCAGGAGCAGCCATTGGAATTTTGAATTTAGGCTCTAAGTATCTTTTGGGGGGGGTGTCCATCATAACTTTGAACAGTCACTAAGCAATCGGTCGTAAGTCAAGAACTACTTGTAGTCACCTGGAGCCAGACAATTCTACCTGGAAGAGGAGGTAGTATCTTTATTCATTAATGGGTTGCTTTTACCTGAGCAAATTTTAAGGAATGGCGCAAGTAGTAGCTATTCTTCTGTAGCTTCAGCCAGCTTCTCTAGCAAGCCACCATGGGAATTCTTGGGAAGTGTGATCCAGTATACTTGGAAAGCCCTTAATGGGAAAAGTTAAGTCTCCGGTATTCTTTTTCAAACTTAATAATAATAATAGTAAAGTTGGAAGGGATCTTGGAGGTCATCTAGTCCAACCCCCTGCTGAGGCAGGAAACCCTATACCATTTCGGACAAATGACTGTCCACTTGACAACTTTCAGATGGGTGGAACTCAGTCATCTCATGCTGACTGAGGAATTCTGGGAGCTGAAGTCTACACACTTTAAAATTGCCAATTTTGAAAAACACTGGTCAATATCTTCAATGAAGGAATAAGAAAGAATCAGTTATGCCTTCTGTGTGCAGATGAACAACTGGGAAGTAAAATTTCTATCTTATTTGTAATGGATATCAGCCCTCTTCTGAGCCATACCTGGTTTTTGCTTTGAAAGTCTGGGTTATGTGTGATGTTTGCTGAGATTTCTGGATTATTGGTTCAGTGCTAGAGGATTCTGTCTTTCCAAAGCAGTGTGGATTAATGGCCCTTTGATCTTATCTGCCTGTGTCCATACAAGGTCCCCTAATTTCATTTTGGTCAACAAAGAGGCATGTGGTTTTTCCAGATCTTCCTCAAGCTATTCTGCACATTATCAGATGGCTAAAGCACGCATTCCATTTCTCCTGGCCTCTCTCAAAGATTAGAGGCACATTGATTTGGTCACCTAATGGAGGCTCCAGCTGAGTGTTGGCATGGCGGATTGCCATGATGGCTGCTGCGTGATGGGCTGCAGAAATGGGAACTGAGCAGGTGACACAAACTGAACTGTAAAGAGGCAGGAACAAAAGAAAGTACCGTGAAGTGGCAAAAAATGTTCAGATCACAAGAACAAAGCAGAAGGGTTTATGAGTAGTTTTACCCATACAACAGTGCCAAAGCACTGGTGTGTGACACCACATTTTCCCACTCCAGCAGAAGATCATTGCACAGATAAGGCCCCAGAGGCAAATAATGGCACCATCATGAGTGCATGAGAAGGAGACTCAGTAGCTTAAAATAATGTTCTTCTCTTTTTCTCCTTTTGCTTGAGAGCAGCAATGCATGAGGGCATGGTTGACAGAAGGCAAGATAGGCAGGAGAAGGAGGGAGATATGGGTGTAGCCAAAACACAAGTGGACAAGCTTGCTGAGCACATGCATTCTATTGCAAAGGCATGTTCGAAAATGGACAGAGAATAAACCTGTGCACCAGGCTTTAGAGGGGAGGAAAGTCTGAACTGCAGGACCATCGCTGTCCACGGGTATGGGAGGCACCAAGAATACAGCCAATCAGACAATGGAAGCTATGTGTTTAGATGTATCAAGCTTGTTTAAGGTTGGAATTGAACATTCCAATCACTTTTCTTCACATAAAGGAAGATAGAGATAATCTAGAAGAAAAATTGGATGAACTGGAAAAGTTGAAAGCATGGGAAAGAAACTCAAAAGAATCTTGTCTTGATTGTGATGGAGCAGAGAGAAACTCTGAAAGGACCTCGAGATTCTAATACAAGTGGATATTTG